GGAGGATCCGGATGATGATATTTTAAATAAAAATGTTAAAATTGATGAAGATACCGGGGAAGAGACAAATGAAGACGATTCAAATGTGGTGGACTATACTCAAAGTAGGACACAAAGAGAGGATCGAGATGTTAGAAATGAATGGAAGGAGATGCGAGATCAAATTGCTTGGGCGATGTGGGTGGATTATTGTGCAAAGTACAATGGTGGTAACACAATGGAGAGCGGTTTAACTTAGTGTGGTATTTGTTCTATGGCTATGTAATAACTTGGTGAATTTTAAAATACTGTTCGCATCGATATTGTTTATTGTTTCTTTGCTTGTACCAAAACATTACTACTTTTATCAGTTGCTCTTTTGTTATGTTTTTTGAGAAATATCGTCGTTTCATATATTCCTTGATAAATGCATACATATCCCATATTGTTTTATATTTCTTTATTGTTAATATGGTTATGCTTACAAAATATATTAGGTATGGCTAACAATCCGGCAGATAAGCAAAGCGTGCCTTCTCATTCGAATGCAATGCCAAATCCTACATCAGGGATTAACATGAACTACATGCCTGTTCGACCACAGCCATTCACTTCACCTCCGCATACATTCTCACCATTCCCACCATACGATGGTAATTATGATGGGATGACACAGCCGTCAATGTCATACATGAGCTTGTTAGGCAGTCCACAAGGTTTGTTGTTTCCCACAGCCAGTTCTCAAAGTAGTGGACCTAATCAAATTTTACTGAACACTGGTGATTCAGGTGGAAAGGATATTCATGATGTTGATGGTGCGAAGCACACTTCGCCATTGAAAAGAGGGAAAAGATTAGCCCATAAAAAAAAGTTCCGTGTGCCAGGTTGAACTCAAGAGGCGTGGCTAATAAGTTTTGGCTTCCAGAGCACGATGATGTGCTTATTCCTTATCTTGTAGATTTAGCATTGGATGGTCTGAAGCCAGACAAGAACTTCAAGGCTGAAGCTTGTAAAATGGTTGTCATGAAAATCAACATGCAATTCAGGACTGATTTCACTCACCTTCATGTCATTAACCACTTGAAATGTTTGAGGAACAAATTCAATGACATGAAGGCTTGCCTTGATATAAGTGGTGCTGGGTAGGATGAAACAAGTAAAATGATTACATTGGATGATGAAACCTTAAAATCTTGGGCCCAGGTATAACAAATTCAGCATCTATATTGTCACCAAAATTTAATACATTTGATTCACTACTTATAAGTATTTGTTATTGCAAGACAAATCCAATTCTAAGTACAAAGCGTACATAAACAAACCCCTTCCTCACTTCAAAAATTTACAAGTTATCATGGGTGATGATCAAGCCAAGGGTGATTTTGTTAGGCCCGTGTACGCTAACATTAGGTCTAGTAGGTCCATACCTATTCCCGATGATGATTGCGAGATTCTAGAGGAGAGTGAAACTGAACCACAGTCTGATGCTTGCAACCAACCATATTCTGGTGCTGTTAACCAACCACAACCTACTAGATATAAGACTAAGAGTAAAGACAACATGACTTCATCATCTAACAAAAAAACCAGAAAATCTAATCGTGAAGAGGAAATGCTATGTGCCTTTGTTGAGTCCATGTCTCAGTCAATGAGAAATCAACACGTTATTCACAAAACTAAGCAGTTGGCTGCAGCGTTGAAGGAACATAGGTTTGAATATTTTGAGGAGTTCCTCGATAGGGTTTTAGACCATTTATATGATAATGAACGTGAAGTTAGGAGGTTTTTCATAAAATCCAAGGAAGGTTAGCAGAGGTACATCACAAAATTAGTTAACGACCAAGGTTGGCCGGATAGCTAGTTTGTTGGGTTTCGATTATATTTTGATGGATATTGTTGTGTTAATTGCAAACTATTAATGTTGCAATATATATTTTTATTATGAAAAACATCTATGTCGTTGTGGGATTGATGAATTGGTATATTTACAATCTTTGTTGCAGGTAAGTATGGTCGTGGAAGGATCAATGAGTTCTTTGAATTTTGCCTTTGCTTTTGATATCAGGTAAATGGGTTTGTTGCTTGGGTTTACTAATGTCGGCTTTTACATTCTGTTGCTTGGGTTTATTGTTCCATAGTCACACGTGGTTGCTGTGGGTTTGTGCCTGTTATTTGGAGCTTGTACAGCTTCTGCTACTGCTGGGGTTTGCCAACTGTTTTGTTTTGAGCTTGTGTAGCTCCTTGCTTTGTTGGGTTTGTGCCTGTTATTTGGAGCTTGTGCAGCTCCTGCTGCTGCTGGGGTTTGCCAACTATTTTGTTTTGAGCTTGTGTAGCTCCTTGCTTTGTTGAGTTTGTGCCTGTTATTTGGAGCTTGTGCAGCTCTTGCTGCTGCTGGGGTTTGCCAACTGTTTTGTTTTGAGCTTGTATTCGATCATTGCTTTGTTGGGTTTGTGCCTGTTATTTGGAGCTTGTGCAGCTCCTTCTGCTGCTAGGGTTTTCCAACTATTTTGTTTTGAGCTTGTGTAGCTCCAATCTTTGTTGGGTTTGTGCCTGTTATTTGGAGCTTGTGCAGCTCCTGCTGCTGCTGGGATTTGCCAACTGTTTTGTTTTGAGCTTGTATTCGATCCTTGCTTTGTTGGGTTTGTGCCTGTTATTTGGAGCTTGTGCAGCTCCTGCTGCTGCTGGGGTTTGTTGCTGTTTTGTTTTGAGCTTGTGTAGCTCCTTGCTCTTTGGGTTTGTGCCTGTTATTCCTCAGTTGTGCAGCTCCTGCTGCTGCTGGGGTTTGTTGCTGTTTTGTTTTGAGCTTGTGTAGCTCCAATCTTTGTTGGGTTTGTGCCTGTTATTTGGAGCTTGTGCAGCTCCTGCTGCAGCTGGGGTTTGGTGCTGTTTTGTTTGAGCTTGTGTATCTTTCATGCTCTTTGGGGTTGTGCCTGTTATTTGGAGCTTGTGTAGCTCCTGCTGCTGCTGTGGTTTGTTGCTTGTTTACCCCCAATCTGCTGGTTTTGCTGCTATTTTGTTAAGAGCTTGTGTAGCTCCTTGCTGCTGGGTGTGTTGCCGTTTTGTTTTTCCTTGCCTGTGGGTTACTTGCTGTTTAGTTTTGAGCTTGTGCAGCTCCTTGCACTTGATATGTGGCAATGATGATGATCATCGTTTACTGAGAATGTAATCTAACTTACATCGTTTATTATATCTAGATGAGGCAAAAGGGGATGAGATTGCAGCCTACATTGAATTGACAATGCCTAGGCGAGGCAATTCATCCTTATAATGCAATCTGTAATAAACATGTAAGTTATAGATGGGGCAATCAATTATGACAAGTTGATCTATTACTGAGCCATACAATATCAATTAGAATTTGTACCCAATTCAAACAACAATTTTCATTACATCCTCAATAGTTTTTGCAAGTACAGGTACATGACATGAAGTTTGTAATAATTAAAATAATACAAAAAATTGCTAATAAAATTGCAGAAATTTTCCAAGCTAGTAGTTGATTTTCGACAAGTCTCAATTCTTTCTTCAGCTTCTTTGATTGTAAAATATATTTATCTCCGTACCTATTTTCTTTGACATATTGGCTTCCTTGGTTGCTTGATGATTCTCCTCTTTCTTCAGCCCATTCGAAAAAATTACATTCTTTATTTAGGAATTTTGCACACCCCCAATAACACCTTCCCTTATTTTTACCATTCTTGCACACTTTCATCGGTGTTCGGAGATTGCAGTCGTAATAAACTTTATAATTCTGCCAGCACTCTTCTGATATCATTTTGATGTCGGGGCAGCAAATTGAAGACAATGAGAATTTTATAATTGCTGAAAAATAAGAATGCTTGGATTAATTTTGAGGTCTCAAGGTGAATTTATAGCCACCATGCCCCTGAACTAGCCGTTGCTACAGTGTTTTGCCTAAGAATATTGAGGTGATTTGGAAATAGCCGTTGCTACAGTGTTGCTACTTTGAAATCTGAATTTTGTGGCTTCAAACCGTTGCTACAGTGATTTTTAAATGTAAAATGAACTAGCCGTTGCTACAGTATCGATCATAAAACTAAAACTTGTCTATAAATTTTTTATGAATTAGGTTGGAATCCATAAATTAAATAGGATTCCTAATCCTATTCCTAGCCCTCGGTGAAACAAACATCCCCTTAGTATATAGATAAATAAGACAAGTAAATATAAATATAATTTGTATTATTGTATTTGCTCTTCACAAGAGAAAGCACAACAATTTTATATGTTATAGTACAAATTAATGTAATTGTTATAGATTTTTTATTTTTATTTCCCCCCCTTAGTCCTATAGCCCTAATAAAATCCCTCGGATCCAGCCAGACCTCGTCCTCGAGCAGACGCAATTTGTCTCCATCCCCCTCCCCACCCCAGCCTTTGCACAGAAAAGGAAAAGAAGAAAGGAATCCACAAAACAGCAAACACCAACCTATCGCGGGTCCCAAGTCTGCGCCTCACCCTCTATGACATCTCATCACACAACTCTTCGGAGAAAAGAAAAGAGAAGCCCGAACTCGTATCCGAACCCAAGACAGCTGATCTTAGCCCCGCAGGCCCCCATACTAGGCCGTAGGCTGCAGCAGGCCTGCTCCCCGCAACGATACCACCTACTCCTCCTCAGGGCCAACCGCGACGATTATCTAACTTTTTCTTTTCTTTACTTTTCCTGATTACCCCCGAAAACAAAACAAAATTGACAAATATCCACTCCGCACCCTCCACGTATGTCGTACGCGCACCATAGCGATGCTACTTCACCATCATTCATCGTACCCTCAGCCCTGATTCATTATTTTGTTGCCCTTTTTCAGAATCGCGTTTGAAAAAAGGGCGGAAAAATGAATGTTTATACACGCAACTGGAACCTGCTCCCGCTCCCTCGATCGCCTACCCAAAATCACTGATTCAGTGAAACCCCTCTCTTTGAATTTTTCCGATCCAACGACTTTTGACCCCCCACCCCCAAAACATCCAAATCCATGGTGGTGATTGATGAGTTGGGATTAGTAAGGAGATGAGGGATTTGGAGGAGCTGTTCTCGAAGTTGAACCCGATGGCTGAAGAGTTCGTGCCGACCTCGATCATGGATCGGAGTTACTGCGGCGAAAACGGGGGAAGGGTCGCTAGGGTTTACCTCAAGGGAACAAGGGATTCTTGGGGTTTTGCTAGAAAGGTGCCATTTTTGTTTTTGTGAACTCAACTTAAAACTTGTTTTTGCGTCTTAAAAATTTGGATCTTCCATTTTCATTATGATTTCGTAAGGTATTACTATAGAAAATATTAATAAAATTTATGTTCAAATATGCATATGCTTATTTAGGTTTAGTGATTAACTTGTTTTTTCAGTGAACAAATTAGAATCATGTCTTTTGGTCATTTTCTAGAATTTTTTTTTACTAGTTTACTTGTGCCTTATCTGATTGAATACTTTGGGTTTGTACATTTTTTTTTAATTTTTATTAGAAGAAGGGCAGGCTTGATAATCAAGGGAAGAGAAGGGCTAACAACAGAACTAGTATGGCACAGAGAGAGGATGTGATCAGGAGGACTGTTTATGTCTCTGACATTGATCATCAGGTAATTTAGAGGCACCGTATAGTTATTTGATTACAGCTTGTAATATGATCTGCAATAATTTAATCAGGCTCCACCGCTTAGTTCTATGCTTGATATATGCCTTTATATACAAGAATATGCTTTACACGCTGCACAATGCTGATGCTTTAGTAATTCCATTTTGTGGGTTATGTAGCAAACACATTTTGGATGAAAGAAGTGTGTAATCTTTAAATGGACGAATCATTGGATAGACTTCTCTCTGGGTCTTGCTTTACCGAGCTACATGTTTCTTCTTTTCCTTATACTAGCGTGCACCCCGTGCAAAGCACGAGCTCCTTTTTTTATTTTTGCTATAATAATTCTTTTTTTAAATGCTACAGCTTTTAAAGGTACGGTGTTCTGTTTATGCTAAATTGATTTTTCTACAGTAATAATACAGTAATTCGCTGTAGCATAAATAGTGAATTTTGAATCCTTGAATCATCCTATAAACTAGTGTATTCATTTTTTCCCGCTACAGTAATCCCAGTTTAATTGTTGTATTTTTTAAAAAATTTAAATTGCAACAGTATCCCACTTCTCTTACAGTATTCCCGTGTGCTACATTAATATTTTTTCAAAAAAACGCGTTGTCAATATGTAATTCAAAAAACTATAGCATTTTAAAAAAACTGTATCAGAGGCGGGAACTGTTGCAATCCAAATTTTTTTAAAAAGATTACAGGGACATTTAAAATCGGGATTACTATAGCGAAAAAAAAATATGCCCCACAATGTTCACAACTAGTAAACTTCTAACCAAGTTCCATTCTCATTTACCAAAAAAAGAAAAAAATATATATAATAAAATAAAAAATCACTTTAACATTGTTTGTAAGTTATCAAATAAAATCCTTAGCATTTGCTCTGTCTTCAACATGGGTCCTTTCAGAAAAATTTCGTTAAAAATCGCTGATGTGACAGATTAATATTGTGAGTTTGAAAACTGTTTGCTGACTGGACATCGCTCTTTCTCTCTCCTCGATTACCAGACCGGATTGTAAAGGGCTTTTTCGATAATAGTCCCTCAAATCTTTCATATTTTGGATAAGTACCCCATATCTTTATATTTTGAAATTAGCCCCCCAAATCAATATGTAATTCGAAATTATCCCCCAAATCTTCATATTTTGAAATTGGTCCTCCGAATATGTTTGAAATTAATCCCCAAATATTTTAACCTCGTACTAACTAGAGGGACTAATCTCAAAAAACTACAAAAATTTGGAGAACTAATTTTAAAATATGAAGATTTGGAGGAATGATTTCAAAGCACTTAAAAGTTTTCAAGGATTAATTCCAAAATATGAAGAGTTGGGGCAGTAATTTCAAAAATATATGAAAGATTTAGGGGATTAATATCAAAAGTTGAATTCATTCTGATAACGTAGCAGTTGTCTGAGGCCGCCTCCGAAGGTGAATCCCCAAATCTTTCATATTTTGAAATTAGTCCCCCAAATCTTCATATTTCAAAATTAGTCCCCCTAAGTGTTTTGAAATTAGTCTCCTAAATTTTCATAGTAGTCGCCCATATATTCATATTTTGAAACTAGTCCCCCAAATCTTTTAAGTTTTTAAAAATTAGTCCCTCTAGTTAGGACTAGGTTGAACCACTTGGGCGGATAAATTTTAAAACACTCAATATATTTGGGGGACCAATTATAAAGTATGAAATTTTGGGGCAGTAATTCAAAATATCTATAAATTTGAGGAACTAATTTTAAAATATTAAAAAAATATGGGGGATTAATATTGATAAAACCCTTTACTTTTGGGTCTAGTAAATAAGGAGAGAAAAGGAAATATGTTCGGTCATGAAACAATATTAAAAAATTACAATTTTAACCTGCCATGTCAGCGATTTTTAACAGCATATTTTAAAGAGTACCCATGTTGAAGATGGAGGAAACATTAAGGACTTTATGTGATGACTTACAAACATCAAGGACCTATATGGTTTTTGGCCTATACTTCAGGGAACTCCACTGAGGTTTTGCCTTTAGTTTACTTCCTATTCTTCTTCCACTGATTCAATTATAGACTCCTTGACTTTCATATTTTATTACATAACCAAAAGGGTATGAGGACCTCCTTTTAATCTTACTAGTAGAAAAGAACTATTTCTATGGTAGAGTTTTCTCACAAGCATCAGAACACTTAGCTTTCTGAAAATCTTGTTTTTCAGAGTTTCTTCAAATCTGCTTGTTAGATTCTTCTCAGTAAAATTCTCCATAAAGCTTTCATCAGTAAATATGTATTTGTACTTCAATTGTTCTATTTCTCGAGTTACCTCCATCATAGATGATTCTCTCAACAACCCGACGTATTTTGTTTCATCCCTCTTTTCATTAGTAAACATGTTTACATATGCTAGAAGTCTAGAACTAAAACCAAAATTTGAAACTGAAATCTTGGTATTAGCAAACTTGTCAAAACTACAATGAGCACACAACACCAAAATTGATTTCTTGAATGCCTGGGTTGTTTTTAGTGGTTAACTCTCTCCAAAGAGTATTAACAATAGAAATTGCTGTATGGAGGCAATAGGAACACTTTATAAAAAGCAGTTTGTATGAATTATCTTACCAACTAAATAAGTCCTGCAAGGTGTTTAGCAACCTGCTCATCACTTCTGTTATATTGCATCTTTGGTCTATTCTACTGATATGAATATCCACACTTGGGAATATAGTAACAGAGGTTATCTTGTAACCACACCACTTGCATCTTCATTCATGATTTGACAGTGGATTTAGAATACTATATCGAAGTCCAATTTGTGGTTACATCAAAAAGCTTGACTAGAAAATGATGTTTGATTAGAAGGCCACTCTGATCATATCTAAAATAAGCTTGACTAGAAAATGATGTTTGATTAGAAAGCCTCTCTTATCATATCTAAAATATTTTGTAGTATTTTGTAGTGCTTCTTATTGCATTGTCTTAAAGTCTGTGATTGATTATCCATTAATTTTCATTTTCACCTTCTTTAGTTAGACCCTCCTTTTAGTATTTAAAACTAAGGCTTCGACATTCAAATGTTTTATTACTAGGTTACAGAAGAACATCTTGCAGCTCTCTTCATCAACTGTGGGCAGGTGAGGTCCTTATCTATCAAGTTATCTGTATGTGCGTAGAAAGTTTGATATTATTGCAATTGATCCTTATTTCATGTTGAAGGTTGTTGATTGTCGTGTGTGTGGTGACCCGAAATCTGTTCTTCGCTTTGCTTTTATAGAGTTTACTGATGAGGGTAAACTTTCAATTCAATCTCCCATTCTTTGTTTCAGCTTTCAATTTTATCAGCTTATCATGTTATGTTCAAACTATGTTGGTTCCTTACACTTTTTTGTCAAATATCAGAAGGTGCACGGGCTGCTTTAAGTCTGTCAGGAACTATGCTTGGATTCTACCCAGTAAAAGTGACGCCTTCTAAAACTGCAATTGCACCAGTCAACCCAACATTCTTGCCAAGGGTAAGCAAAGCTTTAAGCCTTCAACTTTTTATGCCCAGTACTATGTAGATTTACCAATGCAAACCCTTGAAATAAACCTAGATAATCTTTCAAGTGGTTTTCCCCCATTGAGGCTAACTATTCCTGTGGCCTTCAGTCTGATGATGAACGTGAGATGTGCGTTCGGACTGTTTACTGCACGAACATTGATAAGAAGGTAATTTTCGTTGATTCTTTCTCGTGGCTGCGTAGTTATTGTCTACTCTGTTTACTTATTGAGGATTCATTTCATGTAGGTTACTCAAGCAGAGCTGAAACTCTTTTTTGAATCGATATGTGGAGAGGTTCGTTGTTTTTGGTCCAAGTTTATACAGGATGGATGACTTTTTTGTGAATCTTCATATAGTTATTAATGTTAAAGAAGTTATTCTTTGTGGGAGAGAATATACTGAGGAGTACTCTCTTTTGATAGGTTTATCGCATGAGAGTGCTGGGAGACTACCGCCATCACACTTGCATTGCATTTGTTGAATTTGTAATGGTTAGCATTTCTTCCTTCTTGAGATGTTATTTTTCACATTTATGTTTTCTTTTCTTTTTTTTCTTAATGGATAATTTTCAGATCAGACAAGTATATTAGTGAATGCATGCACTTGCATAAGCAAGCAAACACATGACCTGAAAAGAGAGTTAGATTCTAAATGTGTAAAAAAAAAGAAGCAAATTTGACGCTCTAGTTTTTAAGAATTGCAGATAATTTTTTTTAAAGTTCGAACTCTGTGTTGGCACATGCTATAGCATGTTTTTCTTTCATGTTAATCCAAATAGGGCAACTTAGGCAATAGGCAGTGATACTTTTGTCCATCATTTTCTCCATTTACTAATCCTATGTTTTTCTTTGTATATTCCAAGAAGCAATCTACCTTCTCAACCAATTCACATGGAGCATATAACGAAGCATGAGTTCTCGTCGCGCAGGGGAGTTTGGGGGGGGGGTGTTGGGGGGGGGGGGTTACAAAGAACTCTTTGTATATTAAAAAAGTAATAAGTGCTTCATTTTCCCCCATACTGTTTCGTTCTGTGTCTTCATAATATAGAACTATAGATGCCATGCTTACATAAATATCAAATTATATCCATCAAAAAAGGAAGAAATTTAATCTATGAGAGGTATTGTTTAAAGCTAAGAATTTTCCCATTTTTATGATGGCGCTCTACTTTTATGTCTTCATAAAATAGATGGCATGGTCTTTTTTAAAGTCCTAAAACACAGTATTTATTTCCATGTAGTGTCTACTTCATGCATCTAGGCAACTGATAAGTGCAATTACGTACTCCATAGGCTTGTCTGTGTTTGATGTCCTTTCCATATGTCTTTTCCTTATGTTTATTCTTATGCATTTGCTTTGGTTCATGCTCTATGAGGTTTTACTTACTGTCCATTGAATTTGCGCCTATATGTGCTAATACTATGTTCAAAATTACACAGTCGAGACTCAGACGCATGTTTCTAAATTTCTGATAAGATCTATCAATTTTCTCATCTTAACTAGGTTGCCCAGACACTTCATCTAGGCTCCTGTATCCGTGTTTGTGTTCGTATCCGATACTTGTTGGACACTTTTTGAATATATACATACATTTTCAGTTGTGTACTTAATTATATATAACACATGCTTTAGTTTAAAAATACTTGGGATACACTTCTTGAATGTATATCGTACCACTTCACCTCAAATTATGTTACTCATTGGATACGTGACTGGTTTGTTTTAGCACATACATAATTCATAAGCATGATTCTAAAGAGTCGTTGGATATCTAGTTCAATAACAAGTTGTTGTTCAATTTTTAATTACCCACGAAAAAATAAAATAAAAATGGTATAAAGAGTTTAGTTCTCATACCATGTGAATGAAAAACAATATTGGTCTCATGTAGATTATTAATTTTAATATGTATGTATATATTCGCGTCCCCCCATCCTAACTTTTAGGATTTTGTCGTGTCCTGTACTCGCACCCATGTCCGTGTCCACACCTGAACCCGTATTCATGTAACATAGCATCTTACGAACAAGTCGCACATTAATGGATCTGATGAGGACATCACACAGCCTCCACATCGCACATATTTTCGCCGCCGCCGTCGTGTTGCCTCAGCTCATACGTGGCTTTGATCTTGAGAAGACTTGGAGTCTAGCTAGTATTACTTTTTATTTTCTCTTTATTGTATTTGCTCAATAATTTTAGTCCCACGTCGGATATAGGAGTGAACTTGTAGTTGTTGAAGGTCTATTTAAAGAGGCCAATTCTATGAATAAATCAATGAATATTTGAAGAAAATTTTGTTTCATTTGTGAAACTTTGGGTAATTGATTTGATTTCTAAGATTGCGTTAATGGTGGTGAAGCCAAGGTCCGGGTTGCGATTCGTGGTTATATCTTGTTAATTTTTTAAACCCTAGCTTTCCCCAAATCTTTGTTCTTCCCCAAATTTCCCAAATCCCTTACATAAAACCCTAAAAATTCCTATCGTCCTGCATCATTTTTGGTATCAGAGTAAAAGTAGATCAACCTGATTCTTCTCCATCTCAAGTTCTTCCATCTCTTTCTTCCTTTCACTTGTTCTATTTTATTTTAATTTGAAAAAAAGAAAGGAGCCGAATTTAAAAAAAAAATCCGAAATCTTTGAGATCCAAGTAAAATCATTCATCCTAACCACCCCTTCACTCCCAAAACTCATCACAGCCCTCCATTAAAAAAAAAAAACCCTTACCTTCCCTCATCACTGCCGCCAGCTTATTTCTTCTTCTCTTCACCACCCCTCTTCTTCTTTCTCTCCGACCACTGGCGCCACTCATCTCCTCCTCACAGCCGCCAAACCCTCTCATTTCTCAATCCGCAGAGCCTCTCTCTCCTGTCTCCTCTTCCGCAACCCATCACCACACCTTGGCCTTTAGCGCACCCCCCTTTAAACCTCTCAGATCCGTCCCCCTAAGCCGACGCACCGACCTCCATCATCTCCTCCAACACCGCCTTCTTTTCTACCTCTCTCCCTTCCACTATGACTCAATCGTCTGCCACCGCCGCCTCGTCCTCCCGCGTCATCACCTCCGCAACAGACGACTGAACATCGCAGCCGTACGACCCCGCCACATCCGACGCCACCGCACTGCCTCATCAGTCTGTCGCGTCCGACACCACCACATACCTCATCCGACGCCACCATCTGGTCATCTCGACGCCCGCCGACTGTTTGTCCCGACGCCCGACCGTCAGCCTCGACCCGATAGGTCACCCGCGTCTCTGTTCCTCTTGTTATCCTCCAGTTCAGGTCAGATCTCATCCCTCGGTCATCTACGCTCCACTTCGCTGCTGTTTCACTTCACGGACAGATCTCTGTAACAACAACTAGCACCGTCAATCATCCTGAACTCACAGCCTGCAATACCATCAACCAAAGGTTTATTAGCGAATCTTCATCAAGGTAATTCTAATATCATCAATTCTACGTCTTTCTAATTGATCTGAAAATTGTTACAATCACTTTTAGATTGGTTCATCTTGCGTGCTATCAATATTGTTAGCTGTCCACTAAACTTGTGAGTCTGTGATTCTGTTCTACCTTTATCGGTGCTAGATCTCAATTTTAAATTAGAACTATTCCAAATCTAGCTTGATTAATTATCTTGCTGCAATCTTACGGCTCAATATTATCAGCATGAATTTTGTTGTCAATATAATTATCATAAGTTAAATAATTAATGTTCTAATTTGTAACAAACCGTGGGATGGCGTATTAAATATTGCGAATTGCTCTCCTTGTTGATTTCTCATTTTCCATCGTATTCCACATTATCATTTAGCATCATGTTAGGTGTTAGAATTGATTTTGCATTTTGATAGATTGCATTTAGGCGAAAATTAGTTGGTAATTCAATGCATCGTTATTATTAGGATCACCTAGATTGCATTTAGAAACTAATCTGTTGCATGCGCACCCGTAGTGGAACACAATATTCTCCCACAGATCCTAATTCCGAGATGGATCCTAACCTTGCAAGCCTCACAAAAGCCATAGAAGCTTTAACTGCACGATTCGATATTGTTGAACAATATTTGAGAGAGACGAGGGAACATTTAGATCGAGTGATAGATAGGCCCCATGAACGTGATGAAGAAGACGAATCTCGAAACGAACATTATCCCCATCAACCTCATGAATAGATAGGCCCTCACGCCAACCGTTTTGGAAATCGCCCACCTAGGGACAATTCATCCTTTGACCCAAATGAGATGCATCTAAAGTACGTTAAACTAGAGGCACCCACTTTCGAAGGCCAGTTGGATCCTAAGGTTTTTATCGATTGGATGTTGGACATGGACCACTATTTCGGTTGGTATAAAATATCCGATGATAGGCGAATTCGATTTGCCAAAATGAAACTAGTGGGTTAGGCTAGACAATATTGGCCTAACGTTGAGAAGCTGATGATTCTTAGGAGGCAAGAACCCATATAGACTTGGGATGAGATGTAATTGAAACTCCAAGAAAAATACTTGTCTGTGTCGTACAAACAACGCTTGCTCGATCAATGGCAGTGCTTGACGCAAGGCAATCGGCCAGTATCAGAGTACATCACCAAATTTGATGAATTTCTGGTTAGGTGTGGTGAGAATGAATCTGACACTGTAGTCTTGTCTAGATTCGCTCAAGACTTGGGGAAGATCTTAGGCGCGAACTCTTTGTGCGAGACATCTCCACTCTAGAACAAGCCTATCAGCTTGTCCAAGATTTAGATCGATCACAAGGCTCTCCTCGCACTAGACGCACCGACTATGGGAATAATACCAATAAGTCCATCACTGTTAAGTCCCCACTTAGTCAACCACAATCTCAACCTCGAACTGGATCTAGTACCTCCACGCAGAAGCTAGATGATAAACGCAAGGGAGTTTATAGCGAGTCATCTAGATTGGCTCAATCTACTCGATATTTTAGGTGTCAAGGGTTTGGTCATATTGCTGCTCAGTGTCCGCGTAAAATAAGAACTTTAATTGTTGAGACCCGATCGGATAGTGACCAGGATGATTTAGAGGAGATTGTCCACAACCCTAATGAATATGTTTGGGAGAACGAACCTGCCGATGCTATCTTAGGATGTATTTTGAGAGTGCCCACACCCTCGACAACAAAGTGGACGAAGTTTCCTGTCAACTTAGTGTTGTGAGGTGCGCATTAACTCAACCTATGGATAGTGATGACTGACGTAAAACTATAATTTTTCACACAACCACAAAGATCAATGACAAAAACTGTCGAGTCATAATTAACAGTGAGAGTTGTGTTAACGTCGTCGCCTCCAACATGGTGACTGTACTTGGATTGAAACCTGTTCTCCATCCTCAACCATATAAAGTATCTTGGGTAAATACTGTGTCCATTGAGGTAAAAGAACGATGTCTTGTCCCGATTCAATTTGTTACTTATTCGGATAAGATTTGGTGTGACATTGTTATCATGGATGTTGGACACATCA